ATCACTTTTTATCCTTTTAGTTTTCTTTTTACTGCTGCAGAAGGCAGAGAAAAATTCAGAAAATATGGACGTTAAAATGTCTTATTTAGAACACTCTCGTGCTGCAAGTACCTCTTGGAAATGTGCATTTCAGGTAAGAATGAACAACTTCTCTCAAATATCTTACATATGGTATACCTTCAAATATTACCTTCTAAACCCACACAGGTCTATTATTCCATGGTTTCTGATATACCTAAGTTAGCTTTAAGAGCTTTAAACAAAATGTTTCTTTGCTGGTATTGCATTTACAAATGCCCCACAATCTTAGCATCAGAAAGTCTGTTATTTTAAAATAAAAGGAACTGAGGAGCTCTAACCAGTGAGTTGAAACAGCCTCCTTAACAGACCTGAAAAGGGCAACTTATCCTAACAGTGAAATGCATATGGGTCTCTATCATTTGACAGATAACATACACTTTTCCACTTCCTCTGCTCTGTCAGAGATGACTCAAAAGCAAATAAACATGTATTTTCTAATAAACCATAAAGTAAATTTAGTAAAAAACTACAGATATGACTGTCACTAATTCATGACGATTAATGTTCTCTTCCAGGATGCAGTTACAGGTACATAAGTTGTTACAATTTTCATAAGAATGCATGCAGAGGATAAAGTGAATGACATTTATGCCACAGAGTACCTTACACACTACAACATACTCCGGCAGTGGAAGTAAGTTTAACCTACAAGCCCCAGACAGATATAGGAGTACTATGCTGTATAACACAAAATAGGCACTTTCATTAAGTTAAAAATCTGAGTTAACCTGAGAGCTGCCCCAGTCACCAAATCTCTTAACTATGAACTCTGTACAGCCCAATAAGGGAGAAAAATTCTTTTATGCAGGAATCCCTGGAGGACACGAAACAGAATGGGGTTTCACCCCATCAAGGTGAAAGCTGCCACACAGGAAAAACTAGTGCCAACCTATGCGCTGAATTATTTCTCTTTATGGCAAGTTTTAGCCTGATGCATTGGGGAGGTGGGGGGAGGGAGGAGGAGAGGAGGATAGAAATGCAATATATTGCCGCTTCAGGTAGAATACTGAAAATCCTGACAAACCTGGCCACTCAATACTATAATTTGCAGACATATTGTACAGTGAGTATTAAGCAGCACTGCTATCCCCCCCCCCCGAAAAAGCTTGAAAATAAAATTTGTAATCGATCTATTGAATTTAACCTATGTTATCAAGGCAGGTCTATAGAAAAGCTTTATTCCTTACTTTACTCATAGGATTAAGGGAATGGCTCAGAAAAGAGACACGGTCACACTCCTCACTCTTGGGTCATAGAGGTGCAATCATCACGAAGTTATGCATCATCAGATGCTAAATGCACCTGGATTTCCCAAGCTGACAGCAAGGAGTGCAGAAATAGGACATAACTATCACCATCAATCAACAGTCCACAGGCATTTGTAATCATGTTGGTCCTTGAGAATGGGGTGAAAGGTGTAGTAAAAAAAACAGGAGAAAGCCTAAGGTGCTCTCACACATTCCTCCATTCTTATTGCCTTTCTAGGTCATGCTGAATATCTTCAGGAAACAGATACATATTATGATGAAAGTTCATTATAACAATTGAATAAATAATGCATCTGTAAGGCCAATGACCACTAAAAAAAACATATAGTATCTCTTACATGAAGAAACAGGATGTTGATGTACCTGCAAAAATCAAAGCGTTACTAAACCATCTGCTAACATCACATCACACAGAGCGCTTCTGCTGCTTCCACTTTAGTTACTGCAAATTGCCTTGGTCTACAATTTATCTCCAACTGTGTTCATCTTTTCCTCCCTGTGCCTGTATCTTTTTATCGTTTGCTGCTTTTCAATCCTCTCACCAGTAAAGCCTAAATTTTAACAAAAGTGTGTCTGTAACGACCAGTAATAAACCACAAGTTTAGCACCCAAAAATGGACAAAAATATGAAAAATACTGCCGGTGTCATCGAAAATCTGCTTATGTGTTTCACACCTGTGCTCCAGTTTCTAATGTTCAATAACCCATTACTTTCCCATTGATTTTCCCTTTTCTTCATTTAGACTTTTTCCCATTTTTCTGCTCAGATTTCTGCTCTCCACCTGCGTTATTTTCCCCAGTAATGCAATTATTACATTGCCACGCTTCTTCCTTATATTAGCTGATCCAAACAAATTACACCTATTTTTCAGGATGCATATTCTCACTTACTGGTCAATCTGCACTGGAAAGAAGAGCTTTTGTCAACACAGAAAAACACGTGTCTATGCCTCGAATAAAGTAGTATTTCCAGAAGTGCTGAAAACTATATCTCCTAAGTGCACAGTTAATGTTTCTCAAAGGTGAAATCCCACAGATTAGGAGAAACTGGTAAAAGACAGACAAATGCAAGCTGATCCACTTCACGAATCTAGCCCACATTATGGACTATACTGAGGGGGGATGGGGAGGTAAACTAAATAATAATCACAGCAGGAGTAAAAGATTTCCCAGAAGGAAGGAAATCTATTATAAACATGCAGTCAAGAACATGAGTGAATAAACTGTGGCTGGGCAGAGCTACAGCAAAAGCACTAGGACAGAAAGCTCTAGACACACCACCTACAAAGCATTGGTTTGTCACCAGCTGGTCCTCAAGCAAAGGTTACTCATGAACCCAGCGATGCACTAGTGTAACAGTCTCTCTGCTTACGGAGGGGAAAGACTGGAAGCTATAGAAGACATCCAGCTACTATGATTGCAATCCAAACACTGAACAGAGCAGAAACGTTCTTCACAAATATGTGATAACAACCTCAGACCTCTTCCGGCACCCTCCAGGCTGTGGAGCAGAAGCTAAGGGACATAAGTAGCCTCCTTTGGTGTCTTGGATCATAATCCAGTTCTCTAGGAGCAGCATTAACACAGTCTGTGGTTACCTCCTCTCCATGCTAGCTTTTAAGTTCAAAAACCCAGTTAGAGACAGGACTCATACCACAGAGTCTGAATATGACTTGGCAGGATCAAAACTTATTCTCTTCATTCTTATCACTAGGTGCAGCTCCTGAAGCTGAATGAATATATGTAATGATAAATAAATGAAGACTCCTGCTTCATGATAGCTTTTCTTGCTTAGAGTGAAAGCAATCGACCATTGGAATAATCTCTCCAGGGAAGTGGAGATTATCCAGGTGGATTCCCCAACACTGGACACTTTTAAATTCAGCAGGACAGCATGCTGGGATATCTAGTTTAGACTGTGCCTTGCCTAGAAAGGTTGGACTAGATGATCCTCAAGGTCCCTTCCAATCTGGCATATGATCCTATTACAGTATCACAGTATGCTAGAGATTGGAAGGGACCTCAAAAGATCATCTAGTCCAATCATTGTATGCTTAAATCTTAAAAGGTGGGTTTGTTTAAAACTTAAGCCTATTATATCATACAGTATAAAACCTGGATATCACTCTGATGATCCAGGATTAACCTGCAAGTAGAAACACCAGCTTCCTTCCCTGTCAGTCCATGGGGTGCTCTTTGCCTACGCACATCTCCAGTGTCTCATTTTGTTCACCTTTGGCCTGAATTCATTCAGCCACCAGGACCTAACTATTTCTTTCTACTCTTTAAATAGGATTACAGCAGCACAGTGACACTTTCAAAATCCAGTCCATCATGGATGATATCCATAGTTTATGACACCTTTAACCTGATAATCTGCATTATTAGTGTACCAAAACCTACAAGAAAAAGTAAAGCCACAATCACAGTTTATTTTCTTTAAAATGCTCTAGGAATCCTTCAGGATGCTTCCATCTGTTTAAATCAAAAGCAAAAGAAATCACTATTCACCAACCCCAGACATGCATCAGGCTGTGGCAGTGCACCCCCATGGCTTCTACCCTGCTGCATTTCAGCACCACGGACACTCACGCCTGTGTGCATGTTTACACCCACACCTCCCTGACCTAAAACAAATGAAGCTGGCCACCCAGAAGTAAAGAGAGAATGAATTTTCTGCCAAAGCACTGAGAAAACACAGTGCAGCTCTCCCAAGGTCTCGTTAAACACACTTCTCCCCCAGATCTGTGTAAATTGCTGCACAAACTCTGAAACACTGGCATCTCCTCCTAGGGCCAATTGCTGCAAATTTGCTACTGGTGGAAAAGACTTTGCTCAGTTTACAGGTATAAATTCCAAAATGCCCTCACAAGGTAAAAGCAACAGGGCTATCTGGCAACTCCTGGCTCTGCAAAGCCTCTATTCAACTGCACCCGCAAAGAATAAGGGGTTTTTTTAAACGTACAAGTAGGAAGCTTTTCTATTAATCAATTTCTGTGAAGGTGGAGTGAACTGATTCTTTACCAATAAGTTCTTCACTGTGTGGGTGGTGAGGCACTGGCACAGGTTGCCCCGAGAAACTGTTGATGCCCCACCCCTGCCAGTGTTCAAGGCCAGGCTGGACTGGGCTTTGAGCAACCTGGTCGACTGGAAGGTGTCCTTGACCATGTCAGGGGGGTTGGAACCAGGTGATTTTTAAGATCCCTTCCAACTCTAACCATTCTATGATACTATGATTAGCAGAAAGTTCTGGAAATACTGCAAAGTTCCAGAAGCACTTAAAATTTAGGGAAAAGAAATCCCAACCAACCGAACAAAAAAGGTCCCTCTGTGTTAACTTGCCTGGCCTCTTCTCTGTTCCCATGTGCATCACACTGACCCTCAGAGATGGGTCTTACTGTTTTTGCTCCGAGGACTATCTCAGGTCCTCAGACCCTGAGGAGCACAGGACTTTAACACTCTTTGAGAGCCAACACCGGAGTCCCTCTGAAGGCCTAGCTTCTGTGCCCACTACCCGCTCTACAGAACACGGTTTTAGTGGCACTCCCGCCGGTTACAGCAGCGACTGCGCACCGACTGCGCTCACCCACGGCGCGGGGCGCCGAGGGCGCCACCCCGCACCACACGAAGGCTCCGTGCCACCCCGCCGCGTCACCCTGCCGGGCCCGGGGCGGAGCTCACCTGAAGGAGGCAGCGGCCGGGCTCGGCATGTTCGGGCAGCCGCCCGCGGTAGACCTGGCGCTCGAACCGCGGCTCGTTGTCGTTGGCGTCCTCCACCCGGACGCTGAGGCGGCAGGCGGCGGCGCGCTGAGGATGCCCGCCGTCCCGCGCCACCACGCGCAGCTCCAGCGCCGCCTGCCGCTCCCGGTCCAGGCGGGCGCGCGTGCTGACGGCGCCGCTCCGCGCGTCGATGCGCAGCAGGGCCAGCGCGGCCGGGTCCCCCTCCAGCGCGTACCGCACCTCCGCGTTGGGCGAGCCCGGCTCGTCCGCGTCCGAGGCGCTGAGGCGCAGCACGGCGGTGCCGGGGGAGGCGGCTTCCGAGACGGCGGCTCGGTAGTGGGGCTGCGGGAAGGCGGGCGTCTCGTCGTTGAGGTCGGCGATGCGCAGCAGCAGCGGCTCCTCGGCCGAGAGCGGCGGCGCGCCGCCGTCCGTGGCCACCAGTCGCAGGTCGTACAGGTCGCGGGTCTCGCGGTCCAGCGGCCCCGCCACGCAGAGGAAGAAGATGCCGACGCCCGACGGCCGCAGCGCGAAGGCGCCGTCGCCGCCCAGCAGGGCCAGCGCGATGCCGCCGCCGCCGCCGCCCTCTTCCGCACCTTCCTCGTCCGCGTCCGAGACGGAGACGCGGGCCACATAGTCGCCGGGCCGCGCCCCCTCGGAGACCCACGGGCCGCCGCTCTCGGTGAGGTACAGCAGGCGGATGGCAGGGCGGTTGTCGTTCACGTCCAACACGGACACGGAGACGAGCGCGCTGGAGACCTCGGGCTGGGCGCCGCCGTCCCGTGCCTCCAGGACTAGGCGGTGCAGAGCCCGCGCTTCGCGGTCCAGAGGGCGGCGGAGGCGCAGCACGCCGCTGCGTTCCTCCACCGCGAAGTAGCCGTCGGGGTCGCTCTGCCGGCGGTTGATGGAGTAGCGCACCTCGCCGTTGGGGCCCAGGTCGGGGTCCGTGGCCCTCAGACGGCAGACCGAGGTGCCCGGCGGCGCGTCCTCCCTCAGCCGCGCCCAGTACTCGCTGCGGCTGAAGGCGGGCGCGTTGTCGTTCTCGTCCAGCACCCGCACGGACACCCGCAGGCGGCCGCGGCGCCGCGGGCTGCCTCCATCCCACGCCTCCACTACCAACCGGTGCGCGTCCGCCCGCTCTCTGTCCAGCCGCTGCAGCAGCACCAGCTCCAGCGGTTCCGGCCGCCCGTAGCGCAGCTGGAAGAGCGGCGGCTCCCCCGCTGCGCTGCCCTCCTCCAGCAGCGCATAGCCCTGAGTACCGAAGCGGCCGGCGTCGGGGTCGCGGGCTGCCGGGAGGCGGAAGGCGGTGCCGGGCGGGCTGAGCTCGGAGATGTTGAGCTGCAGGTAGTCCCGCGGGAAGCGCGGCGGGTGGTCGTTCACGTCGGTGACCGCAATCTCCACCTGCACCACCTCGCCGCGCAGCGTAGCCGCCGCGAAGCTGTAACGCGCCCGCCGCTCCCGGTCCAGCCGCCGCGCCGTGCGGATAACTCCCGTCTCCGGCTGGACGTGGAAGTCCGCTAGTACCGCCGACTCGCCGCTCCCCTCCGACAGCAAGAACCCGCCCGGCGGACCCGCGCCCGGCGGCAGCCCCGCGCGGATGTCCCCCACCAGCGTCTCGGCCGGCAGCCCCTCGTCCACCGTCAGGCTGAGGTTGTACACCGGCGCCGTACCGCCGCACGCCGCGCACAGCCACAGCGGCACCATCAGCGCCAGCGCCCGCCCCGTCGGGGGACCGCCGCCCCGGCACCTGCCGCCCCGCTGCCGCCGCGCCATGCCTCGCCGCTAAGCCGGCATCGCGGGCAGCCCGCGCCGCGCCGCGCCGCTCCCCTCAGCCGGGCAGGTGGCTTCGCCCCGCTGCTGCGCGAGGAAATCCTGCAGGCCGCCGCTGGTGCCGGGAAGGACAAGCCTGTGCGAGGAGGCGGGGAGGGCGGCTCCCACCGCTACCGCCCGGCGCAGCCCCCGCCCCGCCGCCTCCAGCTGCGCTGCCGGGACATCGCCCGTCCCGCCCCTTCCCCGCGCCCGGGGCTGGTGACCCCCGCGTGGACGTGTCGAGCAGCGTTTGGAAGACTCGGAGGAGTCTTTGCCGATCTTGATTCCTCGGGGAATCAGCTGCTGAGGGTGGGAAAGCGGTGGCCAGCGCAGGTGGCATGGCTCATGAAGGCAGGGACTTTAAATGGGACAGAAACGTGCGAGGATTAACGGGGATGCCCAATTGAGCAAGGAATTTTATCACCTTAATAACGTTGTCCTCATTTTCCATGTAAAGGCTTGCTTGCTATCCTAGCATTATGTCAGTAAATAGTGCTTGGCATGGCAGGGAAGCATTTACTATAAAGAAGCTTTAAGTAGAAACTTCATCAGCTTCAGCAAGACCAGAATTTCTTTCCCTTTTCACTATTCCTGACTCCCATATCTAATTGGGAGTGCACTGAGGATGAATTATTGTTTCTTCAATGACAGTGAGAATATACAGCATCATATAAATGCTAAGTACCAACCATCCATCTTTCCATGACATCTAAGTAAAATACTTAAGCATTTACCAGTCTCTTGCTGTTCCTACTGGTCCTTTGCCAAACTTAATTTCACCTTTATGGCAAAGTCTGACAGTTGGTCATAGAAAAGTAAATTCTTGCTAGGACAGACAAGGAAAATGAGGGCAAAGACAATAATGTAGCAGGAGAAGTTTCTGCAGCTTGGTCCTCTCTTACAAATGGGCACTAGGGAGGGCAGCTGGTTTGCTGTTTGCCATTTTTCAAGTCATGGAAGGTCTCCCACGTCCCACTGCCAGAGCACTGGTTTCCCGAGGAGGGGACAAACCCACTGTAACAGCCCTTGATGTATCCACACAGAGGAGAAGTGGTTTTTCTGACACTATTGGGACCCAACAATTCCACGTATCCAAGTAAGTGGGAGAATTGGGTTCTAAAGTAAGGCTGGAAGTCTTAGTGCATGTGTGTGTCTGCATGCATGGGAGGGGAGACACAAGACCTTATCCACTGTATCTGACTTGCCTCCCTTACAAGAGAGACGGGGCTGGGCAAAAGATAGGTTTTGTAAAACCTTCTTAGACACATTCTGAGAAAGTCTCTGTATATTTATATACTATGATAATTACAAGCATAGAAGCAAGAAGGAAACACTGAGGACCTTGCCAGTTTCATTCATATTCATTGAGAAAACACATGGATCCTCCCCAAGTCACAGATGTTCAGCATGAAAATGCCTGAATTCCATTGAATCACAGCAAGTTTGGAAAAACAGCCATGTCCCATGCAGCCCATGGAGTCACTAAGAAAACATGTGAATCATGTTCAATCAGGCACATTCACTGGAACACTAAGCAAAACCTCCTGTTGCCAAGGTCAGGCAGTGCCTAAAAAGCAAAGTTCTGTATTCAGACACAGCATGCGTCGAGATAGTGGGGAAAAAAGTAAGATGAATGCAGTTATCTGTGGTTCTGTCAGTACTCACTCGTGCGTTTTGTGAGACCAGGGTGCTTTAGCAGTTTTGTAACAAGTGAAGTCAAAAGCACTGCCCAGCTACATCATGTTTCCAGAAATACCACATCTTTGGGACACTATAGATGTTCTTTCTACTGTGCATGTGAGCCTTGCCTTGTAAGTGTTCTTCCACTTTCTTTGTTTTTCTGCCTTCTCTGAGCCTTTTCTTCTTTCTGTTGTTCCCTTCTTAAGCTTTTTCTCTCCCTCTCTTTTACCATGTCCATGACCTCATTTCTTCCACAAATCACAACCAGAAGTTTCTAAATCTTGAGGAGATGCTTGTGGTCTCCTGGATATATTTAGCTGCTCCTGCTGTTCCCTTTTTTATCTGTGACATGGTGACCTACACAAAAAAGACAAGTGGCATCACATAAGACTTGGAGGGAAGCTGCCACAATGATATTATCCCAAAGGAAGCAAGGGTGCAAAGTTCTAGTGCACTAGCTACTTCCTTGCATCCTCAAGCAGTCTCTTTCTTAGTGAAGACACTTTCTAACTCCTCAGATCTACCAAGTCTTTTAGCGTGTGGACAGGAGCACAGCCTTGTTTGAAGGAAGGGGATGTGTGTTACAGTGTGCTAAATGCCTGTCCATTACAGTTTAGAAGGGATTACCTGTGAGCCAGCTTGCTCAGTCAGATAGCAGTCACCCATCTCTTCTCCCATCCCTTTCCTAAAGATCGCCACCTCTGACTTGGTAGGCAGGTGAACAGCATGTGAATCTACTTTCAAACCACTGAAGTTTCCAGCCCTTCCTCTTTGCTGTGGTCCATGTGCAAGGCAGAGAACTGATGCTTCCCGAGCAGCTCTGAATGCCAATTCAGCTGTCCTTGTGGCACAGACCCAACCTCTAGGAAAGGAGAAAGGAAGGAAACTGGAAGGCGATAACTGCATCAGCTGCTCAATTTTAATCATCCTGTATTTGTAAATCAATATTTTCTGTAGCTTGATCCTCCCTGGATTAACAGGAATTTTTTTCCTTTAAGGAGAATTAAACTGTAGCAAACTAAAGCTGTGGTGCAATTCTAGCGCACAAAAAATTATTGAAACAGAGATAGTGTTGCTCTAACCATGAAGGTGCATCATAATTACAGTTAATTCTACCTACAAACATTGCCTTGCCCACGCAACAGCTGTGGCAGCTTAAGATGTGACCTTCCCACACTGAAGACAGAGATGGCTGAGGGGGTAAAGCAGCATGACTGCTTCCTTCTTCTGCAGCTCCCTGGCTCGCTGCACATCATCTTCAGCAGCAGCAGCAGCAGCAGTTCAAGCCAAACCAGCTGACTCGGGTTTGACGCAGGGTGGGAGCGCGACAGGATCCATTCCGGCACTCATCAGATGGGCGGTAGCAGCCAGCTGAGGGCAGAGAGTGGCTGAACTGCTCCAGACAAAGCTGAAGCAAATAACATTAAATAAAAAATAAGTCTTTCCATGAAGTTATTTCCTGTGCTGTTTGAAGGCAGTATGGGCTCAGCTGCTAGTTACTGCCCTTGAGCCAGCGGGCACCACACTTCCATTTCTGCCTACCAGGTGGTGTTCCCTGATCCTCCTTGGGTTTACTTTTAAGGTCAAAGAATAGTTTAAGCAACACTGAAACAATTATTTCTGTTAACCCCAGTGATTTTTTTTTTTTCCCCTGTGCTGGATTACAGAGATCCCATATAAATCAGTTTTCTGGCAAAACTGTGGGGTGAGGAAACACTAATATCTTCAAGTATTGCAGCTGGATCTAAGAAAGGATGTCTGCTCGCAGCCTTACTGGTTGGGGTCACAACATATATTCAGCCTGGAATAGATGATGTATGGAGAAAGCGTTAACTTTGCAGAGCATCAGGTGTTTCATTATTTATAGCTCCCCAGGCACACATATATTGATTTCAGCAACACCTCTTTGAAGGAGTGTCAGCTGCACAAAAGATTTGCTGGTGACCCAATGAAGCCTGGTCACAGTTGCTATAATAGAAAGCTATGTGTAGGACTGGTCTCCTTATAGACGCAGTGAGATGTAGTCAAGAGGTTTTTTGTTTGGTTTTTCTGGTAGCCGTTCCTTCACTCTTGATCACAAACTAATTTGCAGAACTCATTTTGCTGTGGAACAGACGCTTGGCCTTCACTGATGAAGAATCATGTTATTGCCAGAATCTGGCTGGAAATAGTGTACTGAGTCTGCCCTCAAAGGTAGGAAAGACTTCCAGGAAAGACTGGTTTGAGAGTTATGAAGCTATGGGACAGGTAGTAATAGTGGCTTCTTTTCCCTTTTGTTCTAGATGTATTTTGGATGCGTTTGCTCCTCCTGTGGAATGGATGTCGCTGCTGCCTTCTGTGGGTAATCATTTCAGAATTTGTCGCTCAGATACAATTGCCTAAGTAGGGCTACCCAGATCAATACTTTCAGATTAACCTTATTTCTAGTTCACTTATCTCATATGCTATTACCCAGGCCTAATCATCTGTCCTGATGTTGTGCTTCCGCCTTGTGGATCTTCATTAGTCTCTTTGCCATCAATTCTGTTTAGCTTCAAACTGAGTGTCACATCACTTGTCTGGATGACTACTCAAATATATTTGTATCTGCCTGGAAAATCTGAATATGTTCCTTAACTCATGTCACTTTTATGCATAAAGTTTCTAGAAAATATCAGATAAAATAAAATATGCAAATAAATATTATCAGAATTTAATTAGATACTACTAGATAAGATAGGGCTTTTGAGCTACCTTGATTAGTGGAAGGTGTCCCTGCCCATGGCAGAGGGTTTGGAAATAGAGGAGCTTTAAATTCCCTTCCAACCCAAACTGTTTTATTTATACTTTAGTGTGAGGTGTCCCTGCCCATGGCAGGGGGGTTGTAACTAGATGATCTTAAGGTCCTTTCCAAACCTAACTGTTCTATGATTCTATGATTCTGTAATAGGTGTGCATTCAGATTTTGACATTCTAACCATTTTTTAATATATACCTACATTTAGTTTGTGAACTTAGCCACAGATCTTACTACTCTAGCAATGGGATCTATACAAAAGTAGAAAACCCTGTTTTTGATTGCTGTTGACTTCTTCATGTGGTTTGCAATCTATATCACTATTCACATATTGTGAATTTATCTTTAAAACATAAGGAAGACTTCTTTCTTTTGCTATCATTCTGACAAGCTGATGCAGATTTGAAACAAACCCTTTAAGACAGCAAATGGTTCACCACCCTTTTGGGATAGAAATAAACACACAAGAACTTCCCACTGGATGGGTTACATTCACATAAAGCTGTCTTTTGCCATCTGCTTGCCACCACTGAATCCAGAGCTTAGTGGTCTCTCTACAGCTCAGAGGTGAGCTCCAGAAAGCTTGATAAAACATAATTCCAGGTTGGATTTAATACTTCCTTGATAAAATACCTCCCTTGACTACTGTGTTGAGTTTTCACACAAAATGTATAAAATTATCTATATAATCAACTCTTCTCACACAATAATAGATCACAACTTGCAGTCA